CTTCCAGAACATGGCCACACAGCCCGAAAAAACCCACAAAAAACCTAAGGTCCCATTTCTGTCTTCTCCTCCACTTTTTCTTGCAGCTTACTTCAAGTGCTCCAAACAGCATTCAAAGTACAAAAGTAACTTGCATTTAGTTAATTCAGCAGAGGAGAAAGAAGAGGATGGAATTTTGCACTTCCCAGTAGGCTCAGGCAAAAGCAAACTGTTGCAGTTTTTCCTGGGTTGTTTTCTCCCTCATTAGTAACTTTTGTCACCTTGGGGGGAGGAGAGAATTATATTGTTTTAAGCTGTATTTATTTTATTGTTGTACACTGCCCGGATTGGCTTGCCACAGGGCGGTATATAAATAAAATTATTATTATTATTATTATTATTATTATTATTATTATTATTATTATTATTGACCATTTTGATGTTGCTTGATCTGACATGTCCTGTTCAACTATGAAAAGTTGGAGTATAGACTAAGGGGGGTTGCAGACTGCCAGAAATAGTGCAAATTGAGTCCACTTTTAGGGTTAGGGTTAGTGCTAGGGAATCATGGGAATTGGTTTTTTTGTTGTTTGTTTTTTGTTTGTTTGTTTGTTTTTTAGGCATTGAGCCTTCTCTATAAGAGAGCTCTGGTGCCACAATAAAATACTGTTCCCATGATTCCCTAACCCTAACCCTAAAAGTGGACTCAATTTGCACTATTTCTGGCAGTCTGCAACCCCCATAAGTTATAGAGCCAGCGTGGTGTAGTGGTTTGATCAGGGTTCCCCGCTCAGCCATGAAACCCACTGGTTGACAGAATCACATACTCTCAGCCCCGGAAAACCCCATGATAGTTTTGCCTTAGGGTAGCTATAAGTCAGAAATGGCTTGAAGCTACACAACATAACATCAACATGGACTAAGTTCCAAGGCTTCACAGAATTGGCTCAATACAGCAGAGTCCAATAGATCTTCCATGCTCCCTTTCTTCCAACAGGTGGTCAAAGGCACTTGATTTTTCAGATAAGTGGGAACTGTTGTTAACCCCATTAAGAACATCTCAGGCACTCTTCAACTGGACAATACCTTCCAACGCTGCTAACTTTTCCCTTTTAGTTCTCCTCACCCCCTATCCCTCCTCATCCCACCTTCTTCCTTCTCTAGCTCTGCCAATCCCTGCCTCATAGAGTCTCTTTTTCCATCCTTCCACCCCCTCAGGCTACTCCAGTCCCCACTCTCTCCTTCAATCTTTTTCACTTCTCACAGGCTGCCTGCCTACAATACTCCCAGTATTCACATCCCACCCATCCAGCTGAAATTGTAAAGCTGCCTCCAGATGCTACGGACTTTGCTTGAGTTCTTTTGCCCTCCAGCTAGGTTGGGTAAATACTGTTTACTGTTCATTGGGCCCAGAGCTGCCAGGACTTGTCATCAGACTTTAATTAGCATGATCACTGAGAGAGGGCTCCACCAAGTCCACAGTTCCTTAAGCAAGTTTTATAGAGATGAAGGGGGAAACAAATTAATTGTAAGAAACATTCTCAAATTCAGCAGAGGTCTGTACTTAGACCGCCATGCTCATGCTCTTGGTGAAGCCTGTTGGCCCTAGACTCTGAGAGTCTAGACTCTGGGAGAGGGGATTGAGCAAGATGTTTTCAGGGGTTCTTCCCCCATCCAGGGACCAGTAAGGTTTTTGTTCATCTTGTCTTTTGATAAGAACTTACCACCTCCACCTCCACCATCCCCAACCACCAATTTCTTCATCAATGGGATGGGGGAGGGATTTTGAGATTTACAACTTCCACATGCTGGAGGAATTAGAATTGACTGATTTATCAAACCATATCCTAGGTGGGCCCAAATTTCTGCCCCTGTCACTACAACCCACTGGGTTGCCTGCTCCACACCACTGCCCAGAAGAAGAAAGTAAAATAAACAAAAGTTGTTGCTCTTCCTTGTTCTTATCACTGTTCAATGTGTTTTGAGAAGCAGGAACAATAGGTCAACAGTAGGACTCCCGCTGAGCTAAGCACCATGGCAGCTGTTCCACATTTTCAACTCCAGACATGTCTGCTTCCCCCTCTTTTTCCCAGAGTTCCACTTGGTTTCTCTTAAATGAGCACAATAACATATTCAGAATCAATAAAAGCAAAGTTGAAGGCACACTAATTACTTTTCACACAAATTGCAAAGGAGTGACTTAAACAGCTTCCTTTCTAAATGGGTTACTATTTCCCAATATGTGGTTATTGTACAACATTATATGCTGGCTGTTTACTTCCTTCCATATACTTTATGTGCTTGGGCAATTTACACATTTTGCAATATGTACTATGCCATTTATTATGATGTTTGATTTTTCAATATTTGGGCAGGGTGGGGTATTTATATTGGTACATGATTTTACCTATTTAGGTCAAACTTACTGCCTTGAAAAAAAAATCCACTGATAGCAATGGAATTTCCTAACCACTGTGGCCCCCAACATAGCAAAGTCAAGCATTATTAAGGCTACAATCCAAAACACACTTAATACCCACTGAACTTACTTCATTTTATGGTAACAGAGTGAAGAAATGTTACAAAAGAAGGAGGGATTGATGTTTAGTACCCATCCCCCCTTCAGTTCACTCTGTTGCCCAGGATAATTTGGAGAGCATACCATCCATTCCACAGACCCTTACTCTGCTCCTTTGCAATGCCAGGTCAGTCAAAAATAAGACTCATATCATCCATGATCTC